AGCTACCCTCTAGTGACCCTTGCTTCAGATTTGAGCCTCTAAGTTCAATTTTGCAATTTTTTGTGCATCCGGATTTTCTTTTGGGTCAAATGCATTGTTTTGTCTCTTTCCCTCTTTTGTTTCTTTCTGCTTTTGGTTGCCACCTCATTCTGGAGTTAGTCGTTTTGAGCTGGCCTACAAAAAACAGTTGTTTCCTCTCCTCCGTGAGATCTAATCTCAGATCCATGGTAAAAAAAAAAAACGGTCATTTTTTCTTTGCATTTGATCTTATTTTCTTCTTTTTAATTCAGATAATGTGGAGATATGGCTCTGCAATCCGGACTGCCCTCCTTCATTTTAGGAGGGATGAGGTCATCATTGGGACCGGTCAGTCCCTACTGCAGCAGTCCCAATAGGCCAGCACACTCCCCTCAACCCTTTTCTCCTGTTTTGTCTCATTCTCCCTTCATTTTCTCCCCTTTTTCTTTTCTTTTTCTTTTATTTCTGTTGTGACAAGTGTCAAATAGTTGTGCACTCTTTTTCTAGGCCTTGAAACCTCATTCATGGCCAGGTTCATAGTCAGTTGTTGGCCGTTACACTTCGGATTTCAAAAATGGCATGCCCATACTCCTAGGGGGCTCATTTTGCTCCCGTTAGTCTCAATTTTGAGTCCCCTTGGCTCCGATTTTCTTTTGACAGCCTTTTTCCAGCGTGGCGTCCCTTGATCTCTTGTTTTCTCATGCTTAACTAGTCCGAGATATCTCTGACTGCTGGGCAGCCCTCCCATCACCCATTTTTTCTTGTTTTCACTCCCGGTACTCTCGTTTGAGCTCCACTAGTGCTTGTGTTTGTGATGCGAATATTTTTCGCCGTCGAGATCGTTGATCTTGATGGTGCCCTTTGCCTTGCGTGTCCATTCCCTACATTGGCTAGTGGTTTTCCTTGGGACGCTCCCCATCCCCGCCATTCCCCCTTGATAGTCCCATTTTCCCGTCCCACAGGCGACTATGTCGACAAAGTCCAATTTTTGACATTTTTTATTTGGGTTCATTTAGTCCCCCGCGTCACTCCGGTTGACGTCCCATTTTTATTTGGGACTCACTATGTCCCCGGCAGCCCTTTTTCCTTTTTCTCTCGTGCCCCAAGTGCGCCAATTATTTCCGGTCATGAGATCCACATCTCGCGGTCACCGTTTACCGTTTTCATTTTTCCTATGCCTACGACGCCGTTTTCTAGCCCCTTGGGCACGCTGCGACTCATTTTCTCTTGGCTTAGGCATCCTTATGTAGTCCATTATTTCTCAGACTGCACCTAGGGTCATTTTCCTAGTCCCACAGCCCCACAACATGCCTCATGCCAAAAGAAAATGAAGCGTTTGATTTATAAGTGCATCCGGGCTGAATATTGGCCCCGGACGCACCCAAAACATGTGCTTTCCCTTCTTCATGCAGTCTGTTGTAACTCGGACTGCAGTAAGGGTCATTTTCCTAGTCCCACTACCCCACAACTAGCCTCAAGCTGAAAGAAAGGAAAACGGTCAACTCCCAAGTGCATTCGGTCTCCATTTTGGTTTCCGGTGCACCTAAAACATGTGTTTGGCCTCCCCTATATAATCCGTTGTTTTTCGGTTGCAAGGGATCTTGATTTTCTTTGATTTTCTCTGCAAAAATCAAAGAAAATCAAAGTCCTTTGTAACCGCCATATTCCAGAA